CATACATTCTACATCAAATTTACATCCTTTTTACATACATTGTAAATTTGATTTACATCATATTTACATCAAATTTACATACATTTTACATCAAATTTACATCCTTTTTACATACATTGTAAATATCGCGGGAATGAGAGACGCGATATTTACATCAAATTTACATCATATTTACATAATATTCATGCGATATTTACAGACGTTGTAAAAACGGCGTAAATGGCGGGATTACAATTTACACGCTTTTTACATGCTTTTTACATGCTTTGATGTGATTGGTTCATTCGAATATAGTGAAAACACCTCTGAAAAAGAGCAAATAATGATAACAAAAGTGATTCTTTTTTATCAAAATATTGCATAGAGTGGAAGTTAAAAGAGAAAGATATAATTTGCACATTAGAATGCCAATGATACCATTCCCTTTTACTGCCACTCTACACAATATTTGACAAAAACAAACACTTTTATTTTCACTACTTTTTCTTCTCAGAGAGGTCTCCCTATAGACTTATTAATTTTGCATCTCTGAATTTCTACCTATACCCTCCCAAAATGGTTCTCAATACAAATATGAGGCAATAAATTAAATATTTGCAAGTCTTTTATTAAGAAATAAATCAGGTAATCTTTGAATGTAAAGCTGTGTGCTGATCTTGATCTGAAATAAAATAAAACAAAAATGAGTAACAAGACAAAAGGATAGAACGGCATGCAATAGAAACATGGTGACAACTACTAACAGTACTTGAGGTGAGTAAATGTTATTTACCAAGAAGAATAAAGAATAATTTAAATAGTCGTGCATGCATAGAGGTAAATTTGCAATACTTACATTGGAAAAGTTCATCAGTTTACATTATAATCATCCCTGAAATGAATAATAAAACCATGAATTACACAAAGCAAATATTCATTAATAATGAACAAATCTATAAGTGCTTGTATGCAGTCCCACTCATTCTACGTTTTCCCAAAATTTAACTTGACCAAATACACAAAATTTAACAATCCTGGACAAAAACCTGTCAAATAAATTGGAATGTTATGATAAAAC